GGGAGGGGGGCGGGGGCGTGTTTCATATGCGTGTGTTAAAGTGTGGTATTGATGAAAATAGATCAACTTTTTAAATTGTTGAGGTGTTCTGTAAATCCCTATTATCTTTTAGACCTGGAATAGGCTGTCACTAAAGAAAACGTTTGGGAACCCCAGTTTGCAGCAGCCATCGTTAATGAGCTTATAGATACTTTGGCTGCCCCATCAACAGTGATTTATTTATTTGAACTAGCAAAGTTTGCACAGCCACAGAACAGCTATCAGGGAAAGCTAGGTCCAATCATAGACTTAACATTAGAGGAAAGTTTGGTACAACCATAGACTTAACATTTAAGGAAAGGTTGGTACAACCATAGACCTAATACTCAAAGAAAGTTAGCACAATATTTTAAAAGCTATTTAGGAAAGTTTGTGCAACCACAGAAGAGCAGCCTATCAAAGAAAGTTTGGTACAACTTTGGACGAGCTATCAAAGAAAGTTTGATATAACTACGGGCGGGCTGTCAAAGAAAGTTTGGTACAACTACGGACTTTACTATCAACTACGGACGAGCTATCAAGGAAAGCTTGGTACTAGCATGGACCTAACAATCAAGGATTGTTTGGCACAATCATAGACCTAACAATCAAGGAAGGTTTGGTACAACTACGGACAAGCTATCAAGGAAAGCTTGGTACTAGCATGGACCTAACAATCAAGGATTGTTTGGCACAATCATAGCCCTAACAATCAAGGAAAGTTTGGTACAACTACGGACAAGCTATCAAGGAAAGTTTGGTACAATCATCGACCTAATAATCAAGGAATGTTTTGTATAAATCACAGACCTAACAAACAGGGAATGTTTGGAACAATCATATACCTAACAATCAAGGAAAGTTTGGTACAACTACGAAAGAGCCATCAAGCAAAGTTTGCACAGCCACAGACGAACGGCCTATCAACTTCAAGTAATGTTTGGTGCAACCACGGAATTTTAATATAAAGGAATGTTTTAAAGTACAATCACAGATCTAGCTATCAAGGAATGTTCGGTACAACTACAGACGAGCTGTCAAGGAGAGTTTGGAATAACATGTACTTCAGCAACAATACAACGTTCATAGTGTACCCACCTACACCCCTCCAACCCCCCAACCCCTTTGCTTTTTATACATTGCCGTGTGACCATGGAAAGAGAAAGAGAGGAAGGCAGAGAAGGAGATGGGAGGACAACATTAAAGAGTGGACAGGAAAGACGATGGGTGACAATCTGAGGAGAGCAGAGGACAAAAATAGATGGCGAGAGCTGGCTTTCCAATGCAGTGCTGCCCCAACGGTTGCCCCAACCACGGGATAGAAGAAGAAGAAGATGGGACCTGGAATATACTTATGTAGGTTATACGTGATTGACCTTTCTAAACGGCTGTGAATGCTGGATAATTACAAAACATAGTGAAAATAAAATTTAAGCAACACAAATATGGTTTCCCGGGAGACTTTTGAGGAATTCATGGACAGAAAAGAAATCGAACGAGGAAGTAATGAAAGAAGCCAGGGTAGGTCGCTCACTATTAAGAAAAATTAGGAAGCGACGAAAGCTGTTTCTAGGACAACAGTGAGGCATCGTGATGGAATTAGACGCCCGTCAAAACAGTGAAATCTAAGAAATCTGCATTTTTCAAACGGTTTGGCAATTTTGGTCGAATTTTTGTTTTCTTGGCTCACCACCTTTCAAATTCTTTTGAAAATACATTTCTGTGTGGGTTTTAGTGGAAAAACGTCCCCATGCCCCCCTCGGTTAATCCACTGGGTTATCCATGCCCCCATTGTTAATCCATTTATCTATGTTCATCCACGTTAATCTGTGTTAATCCCTTGCCCCCACTGACCAGTGGACGGCGTGTTCCAGCCGTGGTCCGAGTGGGAGGAGTGCTCGTTGACCTGTGGCGGGGGTCAGAGGTCACGCAACAGGACCTGCCTGGGCCCGTTCTACGGCGGCGCTCAGTGTCCTGGGGAGTGGGACCAGACAGAGGACTGCAACACTCAGAACTGTCCTGGTGAGTCCTGCGTTTTATTGTGGGAGGGCGGGATGCGAGGGTGAAGGGGAGTTTTATAGGAAGGGAGGGGGGGGGTTAGGTGCAAGGATATTGAAGCAATTATCATAATCATCATCATCATCATCATCATCATCATCATCATCATCATCATCATCATCATCATCATCCTGTTTTTACAGCAGAACAAATTCGAGACTTGGATAGGGTTGGTAATATTTAATCATATGTTTTTATAGATGTTCTACGTTTACCCCCTTCGGGCTTCTTCCAGAACATAGTATCTGAGAGAGAAAAAAAGTGAGTGATGGTGCCAAAGCAACAAAGCGTTCAATATTTGTTTCGTAATGATGCGATCATCATCATCATCATCATCATCATCATCATCATCATCATCATCATCATCATCATCATCATCATCATCAGTGCAGCAGCAGCATGGGTAGTCCTGTGGTGTATTTGCACGCAATGTGGATAGTGGAAAGCTTTTGGATGGTGGGCCCTGCAGTCAGTGGCGGAGGGCAGACCAAAATTTGAGTAGGGCTTAGGTTGCTTCCACTTCTTTATGATAACAAGCAATAAGAACAAAGCAGTGATGGGGTTTTTATACTCACGGAGAGTCGCAGCATTTTGAGAACCCTTTAAACGAGAAAAGTTACCTTTGTCTTCCATCTCGTTGTTCTAAGATTAATTTTTTTGGATGGTGGGAACGAAGCCGTTTCCCCTTCAAATTTCTTCTAATTTCTTCTGGTTCGACGTGATTACTGTTAAATCTCAGCGGCAGAAACACAAACAGCACAGATAAGTTCCCTTCATTCTCCCCTACCTCTCATTTTATCATCCCACCCACACACAGTTGACGGGAGCTGGAAGCCCTGGTCTGCCTGGTCTTCGTGCTCTGTGACGTGTGGCGGAGGTGAGCGGGAGAGACAGAGAGAGTGTGACGAGGCCCTGCACGGGGGAGAGAACTGTACCGGGCCAGGCTGGCAGAACCAGACCTGCAACACTCATCACTGTCCCGGTGAGACACACACGCACCTTGACGGGTGCTCAAACGGGCGGTCACTCGATCCGGATAAACGAAAAGAAGATTTATTTTGATAGACGTTTGTTGTTTGTTTTTTAGTGGGGTGGGGGGGGTGGTAATTTGTTTTTGTTTTGTTTTTTGGCTCAGATGTTTGCACCGTCTCAATTATTTTAGTGAGAAGTATTCTTAATTGCATTTGGGTTACTATTTTGTGTGTGTGTACTTTGTAATGACTTCGGCCAACGAGGGAGGGGGTTTTGTAAACATATCGTTGAATTGAATTTATCTGGTCGCCAAACTCCATATGAGCGGGGGTTGGGGGGGGGGTCGTTTTGTTTGTTTGTTTGTTTGTTTGTTGTTTCATTTTTGCTTTGTTTGCTGTTGTTGTTTTTTTATTGGGGGGGGGGTGTTGTCGGGGT